CACAAAATCACTCACAAAACTTCTTTTCCCAGCTGCAGATTGCTTTTGAAACCATTCCTGAGCCAAGATTTGTGCTAAATATTAGAAAAAATTGGGGCAAAGCCTTTGTACTACCAACCTTCAACACCATGGAACAGTTAAAGGCAAGAGAAGGAGCCAAAGAAAACTAAAATATATAATATATTTGCTATTTTCCAGTTATCACTGGAAAAATTCTGGAAATATCTGTAAAAACAGCAGAAATAAACTCCATAACCTTCATTTTAGGCAACCTGAGAAGTGTCTCCTTTGCTTTCTACTGTTTCTGGGAAATCAGCAGGAATAAATGTCCACAAGCTTTGTTTTAAGCAACCTAAAAACTGTTTTTACTTCTGGGAAACCAGCAGGAATAGAGAACCATAAGCTTTGTTTGAAGCAACCTGAAAACTCTCCTTTGATTTTTTTACTACTTCTGGAAAACCAACAGGAATAAAGGTCCACAAGGTTGATTTTAAGGAACCTGAAATTTGTCTCCTTTGGTTTCTGGGAAATTTAGGTACATAAACCTTGTTTTAAGCACCCTGAAATGTGTCTCCTTTGGTTTTCGAGAAATAAAAATCCACAAGGTTTGTTTTAAGGAACCTGAAATCTGTCTCCTCTGTTTTTTGGGAAGGAAAGGTCTACAGGCTTTGTTTTAAGGAACCTGCAAACTCTCCTTTGGTTTTTGGGAAACAAAAATCCACAAACTCTGTTTTAAGCACCCTGAAATCTCTCTCCTTTGGTTTCCACCACTCCTAGGCAGCAGCATCCAACCAAATTCCCAATTCTACTGAGAGCAGGGGCACTTCCTTAAAATCCAACTATCCCAGTGGGTTTTGCTTTGCTGTGGGCCAGGACAGGAGAATTTGGGGAGCAGGATGGCGAGGCCGGGGGTTGCTGTTTGCTGTGCTCTCACAGCAGGAGCAGGAGGGTTTGGGGAGCAGGATGCCACGGCTGCACCCCACTGGTTTGCTGTGCTCTCACAGCAGGAATGGGAAGGTTTGGGGAGCAGGATGCCAAGGCTGCACCCCACGGGTTGGCTGTGCTCTCACAGCAGGAAGGTTTGGGGAGCAGGATGCCACGGCTGCACCCCACGGGTTGGCTGTGCTCTCACAGCAGGAATGGGAAGGTTTGAGGAGCAGGATGCCAAGGCTGCGCCCCACGGGTTGGCTGTGCTCTCACAGCAGGAGCAGCAGGCTTTCCCAGCAGAGCACAGCCCCGGGCAGCCCCAGCTCTGCATCAGCTCGGATTTCCCAGCTACCAGCCGTGGATACCTGGGCAAATGCCGGCTGTCAGAGGCAATTCCTCACAGGGAGCTGCTCCAGAACCTGTTTGCTGTGCAGTGAGACGGGAGCTGGGGCTCAGCACGGTGGGTCAGAGCCCTGGGACAGCTCTGAAAGAGATCCCGAGCTCAGAGCATGCAGGGCAGGGCTGAGCTGCTCTGCAGGGACCTTGGCTCTCAGCAGCACCCCGGAGTGACCCCCAGCTCCCACCGGGCTCCCACAGAACCCCTGATGAGCTGCTTGCTTTCCTGCACTGTGGGGGGGACCCCAGCACTGCTGGGAGGGGTCAGTGCCCGCAGCAGGATGGCAGAGAGGGGCGTGAGGGGCTGGGGTTGGCACAGCTCCTGCTCTGATCCCAAAGGCAGCAGCTCCTGCAGGGCAGAGCAGCCCAGCAGCCCAGAGCCAAGGAAAAAGCACAAGGAACCAGTGAGAAAGTACACGGAACCTGGGACAAAGCACACGGAACCAGGGACAAAGCACACGGAACCAGGGACAAAGCACACGGAACCTGGGACAAAGCACACGGAACCTGGGACAAAGCACACGGAACCAGGGACAAAGCACATGGAACCAGGGACAAAGCACACGGAACCTGGGACAAAGCACACGGAACCAGGGACAAAGGACACGGAACCAGGGACAAAGGACATGGAACCAGGGACAAAGCACACGGAACCAGGGACAAAGCACATGGATCCAGTGGCAAAGATCACAAAACCAGTGACAAAACACATGGATCCAGTGACAAAGCACATGGAACCAGGGACAAAGCACACGGAACCAGGGACAAAGCACATGGATCCAGTGGCAAAGATCACAAAACCAGTGACAAAACACATGGATCCAGTGATAAAGCACATAGAACCAGGGGCAAAGCCAGGCATACAAATAATCACCCCTCCAAGCTGTTCTGATCACAAGAAATAGGCTTTTTCCCTTAGTTGTTGGGTCATTAAAACATTCATGAAATACTTGGAGTGGGGGAAAGGCAGAGATTTCCCACCCCATAAAATGTCAACCACTTCAGGAACACATTTCAGTGAAAGCATTGGCTACTTTGAGTTTAAAACACAACATCCTATTATGAACTTTTTCCACTCTGAAGTGAAGAATCACTTCAAGATTCTGCTTTTCAAGGGTGCAGTGACACAAAGGGAGGTTGTGGCACCTGATTCTCACTCCTCAGCTGGTCACAATCGTGTTGAACTCACAGGGCCACCTTCCCCTCCTCAGCCTGTCCTGGCAAAGTGAGCTCTTGTCCACACTCAGCCAAGTCTTTCATCTTGTCCTGTTGTAATAAAGTCTCCTTCAAACAGATTGGCTCCTGTTTCCTGTCTCCTCACACAGCTGCTCGTGTGCCCCAGAGAGGTAAACAGTGGAAAAGACAGGACTTGTGTATATTAGCCACGTTATTGGGATGTTTAATGATGAAAACACAAACCTTCCTCTCAAGGCCTCTCTAAAACCTTTTTTTTTCCACATTAGTCTTCACTTTTTCACAAAAAAATAATAGCAAGACATCATTGGCAGTTCTGTAGATTTTTTTACTGCAGAAAATCCAGGCTCTAGCCAGCAAATCAGATTCCCCAACCTCCTTGTGTTCAGGAGGATCCAGGAACAGGGAACCACAACATTTCTTTCCTTTTTCCTGGACTTGCTTCTAATATTGGTGAGCGAAGCTGGACACTCCCCAGCCTCCTTGTGTCCAGGAACAGGGAACCACAAGTCCTTTTTCCTGGACTTGCTTCTAATATTGGTGAGCGAAGCTGGACAAGGAGCAGAAAGACCAAGTCCTCTGCTGGCAGGGCAGATAAAGCTCAGGTAAAGTTCAGTGACCACTGTGGGACCAGGAAACAAAACATTCCAGGTTTTGCTCTGATTTTTGAAGATAATTCTCCCCTCACCAGTGCTTGGACAGGAGAGGCTGAGAAACCTGATTCCAGGTGAGGGCAAAGTGTCTTTTGTTGGGCATTCCTGTGTTCCTATCAGAGTGGAGATGCTGAGGACACATTGATAATTTAAATTCTCCATTCCAGGAAGGCTTTCTGCCTTCCCTAGCTAACACCTGCCTTGTAAACCAAGACAACTGATAAAGCCACTTGTGTTTTATGGATAAAAGCAGCAAGGTAAGTTGTTGTTATATTACAGACAAACCCACCTTTTCTGCAGCAACAGTTTGTCCCTTTCTCTCCAAACCTTCCACAAATTGGAATATTCAGGATCAAAGACTGCAATCCCCATTGTCTCCACCAGCAAGGTAAGCAACCCACCCTTCTGTGTCCCAAATTTCCACAGAGTCACCTCCTGAAGGGCTGAGCCGTTCCTGGCCCTGCTCTCTCAAACACTCCCACCACAGAGAGGCACAAATGGCCAGAGCAGATGCACAGGGACACAGTGCTGCCTGCACTGCCCAGATCCCCCAGCACACCCAAACCCCACCACAGAAAACAGAGAAAACCTTAGAGCCCTGCAGAGAAAACCTCAGAGCCCTACAGAGAAAACCTCAGAGCCCTACAGAGAAAAACCTCAGAGCCCTACAGAGAAAAACCTTAGAGTCCTACAGAGAAAACCTTATACCCTGAAGAGAAAAACCTTAGAGCCCTGCAGACAAAAAACTTAGAGCCCTACAGAGAAAACCTCAGAGCCCTGCAGAGAAAAACCTTAGAGTCCTACAGAGAAAACCTTAGAGCTCTGCAGAGAAAAAGCTCAGAGCCCTGAAGAGAAAACCTTTACTGACAGCAATCCCCAGGGCCAAAGCCACTTCTCCATTTATCAGCAGCTGCACAAATGTTGAATTTGATCACCAAACCTCCCCTCTCCAGTCCACATTCCACACCTGGGAGCCTTGAACTGGGCTTTCCCTGCCACAACCCTTTCGAGCTGTTCCAAAATCCTGTGCCCATGCCCTCAGCTCCTCCCAGGCAGGCAGAGCCCAGCCCTCCCTGGCACACCTGTGCCCAGGTTCCTCAGCAGCCCTGGCACGGGCAGGCTTTGCCCAGGCGGGGCTGCTGCTGTCAGCAGGACGGGGTGAGCAGGAGGGAGGCACAGCTCCCTGCAGGAGCCCCTCACACACCTCAGGGCTGCCAACTCTTTTCCCTCCAGCTTTCCTCCACTCTCCTTTTCCTTCCTTTGCTCCTCTCCCCCTCCACAAATCACCCTCTCTCCCTCTTTTCTTTCTCTCCTTCCCCTTCTCTCATCCTTCTCTCCCCCAACTGCTCCCTGCTGCACTCCAACACATCTGTTTCTAATCTCAGCCATCCATTGCAAACAATAACCCCTTTTTCTTTCCGACCTCTGAACGCTGAGTGCCCAACAATTCCACCCAGTTACACAAATTTGACACTCTGCCTGGAACAAAGGCATTTTATTCACCTTGTTTTGCCCAAGAGCTCCAAGCCCCTCTCTCCTTTATCCCTGAAAAGCGCTGCTCTCTTCAAACAAGAAACACTCATTCCCAAACGAGTCTGTTTGACCAGCACTTTTTGAAATTAATCTGGATAATCAGAGATCTCTGGCTGTCAACCTGCTCAGAAAGGGATCAGAACTCAAGCACCACTGAAATTCACAGTTTTCCACAAAAGTTTCCTCGTTACAAACCCCTTTTCTTCAACTCACCAGCAAGGAATTTCAGGCACACAGAGCAGACTCGTGGAAGTTTGATTAAATAAAAAGCGAGCAACACCAAAAAAGCCAACCTACCTAGGAAGAGGATTGAAAATGCAGACATTCCGTCTCCCAGCAAGAGGGACTTTTCCTCCCTTTTCCTTTTTCTTCCTCTCTCCCAAGGACGGCAGGCAGACCTGCACAGGATTCAAAGGAACGCCTCTGGAATGCACTGAGTGTAATTGCATCCATGTGCCAGAAAAATCACCAACTTCACTCTTTCTTCCCTCCTGCTATTCACCCCCTGGTCCATCTTCCATCCGGATGGATTTCTTTTTTATTTTGGGGCTGCAAATTCAGGGCCCTTGGAGTTTCTGGGGGAGAAGAGGCAGAGGCAGCGCGGCGAGGACTTCACATCCACGGCAGCACAGAACAATTTTGCCTGTGTGGAGAGGAGAGAAGCAGGGGGAGAGCACTGAGCTCAATGTTCACCACATGGCTGCCTCCCACTAGAGCCCCTCCCTGCCATCAGCTGGGATTAATGGTGAAGACCAGTCATGTGGGTGAGGTAGAGCTGATTTCCAGCAAGAATACACATATTTAGCAGAGAAAAAAAGAGGATTTCTCCAGTGGCAAAACAGTTAAGTTTGGAGGCAGCAAAAAAAAAAAAGAAAAAAAAATCCAGAATGGAAAAAAAATCAGATTCGACACTCAGGGGTTGGAGGGAGACTCTTGGAAAAAGCTCCTCAGGAGGATAAACACACTGCCCTGGATGTATTAGCTCTGGGCTCTATTCTGCACTGGAAATTGGAGATTTCAGGCTTGCTGAACCCTTGCTCTGTCTGCTGCGTGGTTTTCTTTTTGTGTTTTTAGGAGGGAAAGAAATCCCCTAAAAACGGATTTAATTCACGTCGTATCTGCACTTCACATATGAGGGCAACGCTCCATCAAGCAGAAATTTGTGGCTATGGGGTGTGAGTTTTAACTCCCTCCCAAAGGGCATTTAAGGCACACAGAGACACCTTTACAGCCCAGCTCCAGCTTCACCCTCATGCAGGGAGCAAATTTTTAAAATTACCTCAGTTACCCCATAAAGAAACACCCAGCACGCACAGCAGAAGGGAAATAAAGCAGATTTACCCACCTCGGTGCCTTGGAACGCAGAGCAGAAATTCCTCCCCTCAGAACAGTTATGAAAGTGTTTGTGGAGCCTCGAGGAAGGCAGCAAACCATGGGCAAGGCTGCCAGCCTGTGGTTTGGGACATCACACTCCAGTTTTCCAAGCTTTCTTCCCTTTCCCTGTGTTACTCCACCCACAAACCATCTCTCTATACTTCCCAAAAAAAAAAAAAAAATCAGGGCTAAAATGCTGCTCTGCCTCTCCAGGGATGAAAACAAACCCTGTGCAGAGCCAGGAGCTGGGCTCGGTGATTCTTTTGGTCACCTTCAGTTCAGGATATTCTATTTTTTATGGAATACAGAAATATTTATGAAGCCCTCAGCCAGGGGCACAACTCTTGGAAGGAATTCGGTGTCTTTGGTGTTGATGACAGAGCTCTGTAGGTATTTATGGGAAGAAACAAAGATCAAAACCCAGATCTTTGAATCCTAGAACCAAAATCAGACCCTATTTTTTGATAGATCCAGAGAGAATAAAAGGGATAAAAATCATCCTTTTGCACCCAGTTTCATCCAAGTTTTGTTTGCCCCTCCCAGCCTCAGATGGAGACAAGAGCAGCATTTGGCTCCTCCTCTCCAGAACTGATTTTCTCTCTGTATCACAACATTTTAAACAGCATTTTTATCTGATCTAGACTGATTAGGTGAATTTTTATCTAATCTAGACTGATTAGGTCTAGATTAGGTGAATGTCACAGTTCCCACAGAGCAGCTCTGTCCATCCCATGTAACCAAATCCCAAGATTCCCCCAGAACTTTTCCCCACACACTTGTCCAAACCTGATTTTCTTAATGAATGCACCTAAACCCCCCTCAATTCTCAGAGCAGGACAAAATCAATGGAGAAAAATTCATTTTTTCTGCAGGCCAGGCAGCACAGAGCTTGTCTCTGTGCATTAGGAGTGTGACACAAGATGTCCCTGGCTCTGCTGTGAATTCCCTGATGGATTTAATAGGATCAATTCCTCCCCAGGGAGAGGCAGAGGAGTGCTGGCACCCTGCACTGCCTGCCCAGCCTCCCCCAAACAAAACTTTACTTTTAAACAGGGTTTAAAGTTTTAAAACTTTATTTTAAAATAAAGTTTTGTTTGTCCCTCTGTCCTGGTTTAGGGCAATTTTGGGAGAAACACCTCAAAGGGGGTTTCCTCTAGAAAAATTCACATCCCAGGGGGCTGAGGTGTTCAGGGGAGGAGGATGGAGGGTGGAAAGGGAGGTTGTGTGTGAAAAATTTCATTTTCTTTATGTTCATCCCATTCCAGAGCCTGTTCCCACATCAGCTCCTCCTTTGGGGTGCACTGGGGCTCTCCCTCTGGTTGTGGCTCCTGCAGAGCTGCAGGGAGGGCAGAGGTGCTGCTCACCCACACAGCCCATGCTGGTTCTGGTCTGGGGGAAAAGCTCCTCTCTGCAGCTCTTTGTGCTTCCAGGAGGGAGGAATTCCTTCCAGGAGGGTTGTGACAGCTCCCAGCTGCTGCTCCACGGGGGATGCATCAGGAATTCTCACCGGGGAGAGCAGGGGGAGGGAAACTGATGTTGGAGATAAGCATCAAAGCAAAAAGTTTTGTGAAAAACTGGTAAACTGAATTAGATTTTCAGTATTTCAGAGTTTCTGTACTGCTGTTGAGAGAGCTCAACTTTTAAACTCAGATTAAAACACCTGGCTACAAAAATCTGCAGAAATCCTCTTGGGCACAAATCAGTTTTTTGGAGCTGCCTCAGTTTCAGCCCCTTGACATTTGGATGATGAAACCTTTCAGAAAACACACTCCCTTAAATCTTAAATCTTAAATCTTAAATCTTAAATCTTAAATCTTAAATCTTAAATCTTAAATCTTAAATCTTAAATCTCACATCCCAGGAGCCTGCCCTGCACAGTTTAACAGGTTTTACACCCCCCTAGCATGTGTAGGACTCTTTCTCTAATCCCAACTGATTTTTTTGGTTGATCAATTTATTCCTTTTACTTTGCTCTTCCTCCTCCAAGGAAATTCCTCCTTGAGCCTGAGCTGTCCCCCAGTGCTGCAGAGCTGCTCGTTCTCTTCTCAGTGGTGTTTTAATGTCCCCACCACCCAAAAATTATCCAAAAGCTTCATTTTGTGCCCAAAATTCTCACTATTGCTGCTGACTCCCCCCTGGTGCTGATTCAATTTTGTCCCTTCTCCAAGATTCCCTGTATCAACTTCCCTCACTCAGTTTAAATTATCTGAGCAGCTTCTTGATAAAACCACTAAAAGAACAAAATTCATTCATCACTTTGAATCTCTTGAGCAAAAAACCCATTTCTGCTCCATTTTTGGGGTTGCAACTGAAATAAAGCACCAAGAACACCAGGGAAAAAAACCCCAAATGACCCAAACAAACCTCAAAACAGACAACAAAAAATGTTAGGGGAGAAATAAAACCCTTCACACAGATTTCTTTTCACAACCAGCCACTGGAGGAAAGGCTGGTTTGTATTTTGTGGGAGGCAGAGCCTGCTTTGTTAAGCAGTGGTTGTTGAAGGAGCTCTCCTCTCTCAGCCAGGCTTCAATAATTGATTATAAAAGCACAATTAGTCATTTAGTATCAGCAGGAAAATATCCCTTCAACGAGGCTCAGCACTCACAGTGTCAGTAAATGTATTTGAGGGGAAAAAAACAAGTAAAAATATCTTTAAAGCACAGAGCCTCAGTGCACAGAGCTCCAAGGTTTACTTTTGTTTGTTTGAGGGAAAACAATTTATTTTGTTTTATATTCTTATTGTTTTATAGTTTTATTGTTTTATAAAAACAATATTATTGTTTTATAGTCTTATTTTCCTATAATTGTTTTACATTCTTATTTTCCTCTGTGAGGCTGTAACTCAGTAGACTCAAAGCAAATTGTTCCTCACACAAAGAAAGAGCATTTTTAATCTTCTAACTTCACACTGATGCTTCAAAAACAAAGAACTGAGCACAAACCTGTGACACTGAATCTTTGCTAGAAAGCAAACCAGGTCAAAACCTACAAGGCTGAATTTTTGTCACCATAAAATCTTGAAATATTTTTACAGCACAAGACCTTTGTTTACAAACCAAGCTCTAAGAACACTCCTGAGAAGAAAGTCAGACCAGAAAATCAGACCTTGGTGCATTTTTAGACCATCCAGTGGTCTAAAAAATGCACCAAGGCATCATAAGCAAACAAGAATTTCTTTTTCCTTCAAGTTTCAGGCCCCAGATACAAGGAAAAAATGTGAGGGTGCAGAGGAGTGCAGGTGTGGGGTTCAGGGGATTAAACAGGGAGGGTCAGGGGACAACTGGCAAAAAAAAAAAGCCTTGTAAGCTTATAGGTCTTATTTTTTTTTATTATTCATTAATGAATGAATTAATATATTAAAACAAATGAATTTTTATTATTAATTAATTTATATGTAATAATAATAGAAAGTGTTGGGGGGAAAGCTGAATGAATTGGCCAGGAAGAGGAATTTACGTAGAAGTAATGGCTTTGAAAAAGACAAATTGTTTCTTTTAGTGCAAGGTAAAATCCTTGGATTTTTCATCACTCTGGAATTACTTTTTTCCTAAGTGTGCTGGGGAGGGATTTGAGTGCATAAACTGAATTTAAGTGAGAGTAAAATGGAGGAAAACAGAAAGAAAGATGCTGAAGAAAGACTCAAGAAGGTGTCACTGGGCCTAAAGCTCACCCAGGGAAGGGCAGGGGAGGCTCCAGCATTTCCCTCTGGGAGTGAATGGTCACTGTGATTTCCCACATCCCTGCCCTCTCCACTTCTGCTCTCTGTTTAATTGTTTTTTAATTCTCTGTTTAATTGTGCTGCTCACCCCAGTGGAACTGCTCCATTTAATTACTGCAAACCATGATTTGGAGTCCTGTTGCACAGGAGCACAACTCGGAGGTATTGCTTTTAGGATTCCCTGAAATCCCTGTGCCTAAAC